AAGAGTGGTCTTGGTTCCTTACACTTGCCATTTCCGTCGTCTTCAATCCAGTAGCAAACTCTACGCTTCTTTCTCTTCAATGGCGGCCATTTCCCCGAGTTCTTCGCCATCCATTCACTGCTTGAGATCGGCATGTCCCGATTCTTCTCTCGGTCTCGTGTCATCGACGCGGGTATCGTTCCCGGCGAAGATTTCTTATTTGTCCGCTAAATCTTCGAATCGTGGTGATGAAATGGGGAAGAGAATTGAGGGAGTCGTTAGAAGCGTCGACGGGAAGATCTCTGACGCAGCTTTCTCCGAATCTTCATCTGCAACTCCAAAATTGAAGTACTATGAATATTTCTCTGAATTCCTTTCATTTGCTTGATTATCAGTTCCTATTTGATGAGTAATTTTATGCGTCTGAATTTTTGATTTGTGAAAATCAACATTTTCATGCAATAACGTTTGGAATTGATCGGTTGGTCCTCCCAGCTTTGCTCACTATTCGTTTGATTGATGTTGTGAGAATTGTATACAACTCCATAATTAATCGAGATTCCCTGTTTCTGCCATTTTATTCTGCATACTGAGCTTAATTTTGTTTGCAAAATCTGCTCCTGTGTTATTCCAGATTTCAGTTACTTGCCCTTGTTTCTTCTTTTGCTGAATTATTGTCATTATGAATGTGAATAAGTTTGAACCATGATATCTTACCTGAACCATACTCATCACTGACGTTTTCTTTGTGCGTTAAAACAGGGTGAGGAAGCACACAATTTCAGTATTTGTTGGAGATGAAAGCGGAATGATTAACAGGATTGCAGGAGTCTTTGCGAGGAGAGGATACAATATCGAGAGTCTGGCCGTTGGTCTGAACAGAGACAAGGCTCTATTCACCATAGTTGTCTGTGGAACTGAAAGGGTGCTTCAGCAGGTCATCGAGCAACTCCAGAAGCTCGTTAATGTTCTAAAGGTTGTCAGTTTCTAAATCACACTTATAAGTTTCTGCATCGTAACTGTGTCATCAGCAGCATCTTTACACATCAGTCGATTTGCTTGTTCATTGTGTTCTATATTCAGTGGAGTTCTTAGTACTCTGTAATCTTTCAGCTTGCATCTCCGTAATTTTGTGTTAAAGATTACATTTGCAAATGCGTTTTCCAACTCCTGGATTGACTTCGACTTTAGGTTGAAGATATCTCAAGCGAGCCTCAAGTGGAGCGTGAACTGATGCTTGTTAAAGTAAATGCACATCCAGAATCCAGGGCAGAGGTAGTCTTCCTTGTTTATGTTAAATCAGAGTTTAGTTGGTTTTGATACAGTGCAAAAGTGGCAATTATTTTCTTTCGTATGTTGACTGGCCTCTGTCTAATGATTCTACAGATCATGTGGCTAGTTGACACATTCAGAGCAAAAATTGTAGATATTGCGGAACATGCATTGACTATTGAGGTACATCTGGATTATGATACGTGCTGTTCTTGATATTTGTTTCGTATTATAGCCTATGGGTTTCGGTATTTTGTTTTTATCCTCTTACTAATCATTGGAAGACATAATTTTTCTGTTTAGGGTATCATTTGAAAATTCATATCAAGTGGTAGGATTTTGCTGCCTTTTGAAACTGATGATGATCAACATGCAGGCTTTTGTGATGAATACTAAATTTATGTGTGTGTGTTAAGGTTTATTTGAAACTTAGGGGGCAACTCCTTCAACATAATTGAAGTCTGCTAACTTTATGTAACTAGAAAATTCTTTAATAGACTGTTACCCTTGATTATACGATGCAATAATCTGCATTCTGAATTGTACTGTCTGTGCTGAGTGTTGTTTATGATAGTTAGATAAACATATTGTTCTTTTTATCTTGATTATGAGATTGTGGGATAACAAAAAATTTGTTTCTCTGAATTAGATATTTTAGTTCTTTAGTGTTCATTTTTAAGCTATCTTGCAGGTAACTGGAGATCCTGGAAAAATGATTGCTGTTGAAAGAAATTTGAGAAAGTTTCAGATCAGAGAGATTGTCAGGACAGGAAAGGTAGTGGATTTTTGAATGTCATCTTGTTTTTGCGTTCTAATGTATGTATGTTAGAGTTACTTGTTCAAGTGGATATAAAGGCATATATCTCAGGGACTTTCACTAATTTTAAATAACAGATAGCACTGAGAAGGGAAAAGATGGGTGCAACTGCTCCATTTTGGCGATTTTCAGCAGCATCCTATCCAGATCTCAAGGAGCAAGCACCTGTTAGTGTTCTTGGAGGTAGCAAAAAAGAAGCCACAGTCCCTCAAATTGAAACTACAGCAGGGGTGTGTGCTTCTCTCCTCCTTAGATTGCTTAACTTCTGCTTGAAGCTCCTCACTTTTCTTTCAAATATATGGGTTGCATAAAAGGTTTGGAACTGGCGATTTTATGAAGTTATATGGAACTAAAGAGGGCAGTGATTTTTTTTACCTTTATGTGATATCTGCCTTGGATAGATTGGCACTGTCAAGGGGATCATTGCACACTTTGATGGTCTACGGATCTTAATATGCTTCCATATAGCTGGAAAGCTACAAACTCGTGTTCTTCTCTCAGAGGAGAAAATTCTTAAAGCATGCAATTCTAATGCCCTTTTGTTTTATGCCCTAGATACACTAAAGGTTTTCACAAGTTTGCTAATCGTCCAGTGTTAAAAGTTATCTTTGCTTTTTAAATGTAGGGAGATGTTTATCCCGTTGAGCCACCTTCTGACCACATGGTACATCGTGTTCTTGACGCTCACTGGGGACTTCTCACAGACGAAGATGTAAGAGAGTTCATTGCTATATATATCTTTTATGGATACTGTCATATGATGTGTACCATTGACTTTGCTAAATTGCAATATGCAAAATATGGTTGTGGTTTCAAAATCTGGTTGCATTACAAGAGTTCCACTTATTTGTCCACTCAGGCTGTGTAGGACTCTGTGTTTCAATAATTAAATCTGTTAATATTGGATGGACTAATCATTTCTCTATATCTAAAGTTAGACATGGTTAGGTGCGATTGACTTTGTTACATAAAGGAATGTGTAAGCTTGTTGTGGAGATTGTATTGATTTGCTTCCATAGCATACTGTTTTTCTAGGTTTTATTTCTGTTTTATCACAGTTCTTCTTTTATGATCTTTCAGACGAGTGGACTACGGTCACATACTCTATCTTTACTTGTAAATGATGCGCCTGGAGTCCTGAATATTGTAACTGGTGTTTTCGCTCGAAGGGGATACAATATTCAGGCATATTCCTTATCTCTCT